ATTTTAATAGTACATTATCAGCACCGTTAAATTGCTTATTTTTAGCAAGTTCAATTTTGACAGATTTTTGTAAAGTAATTGACAAACCAAAATTCCCAATTTTAAGATAAACCCGAACAAATTTAGAAATAACCAGAAATAACCAGAAAATATACATCAAATAAAATGTTACTGTCGTTAATGTATTAATGTAATATTACATATGTTATTCATATAAAAATTTGGATTTTTTCTACTTTAACTTTGAAAATACAAATTCTAAATTCTTAAATTGCAACAAGAAAGCCGACCCTAATAATAATCTATCAGGAGTATTTGGAGGTAAAGAGATCTCATAATTAAGTACTGTAAATAAATAAATAGTACGTAATTATTATTATTATTAATATATGTTTTTATATGTTTGAAAAATATACAACTTCTATTATGCTTAAAATTAACTTACATATCATTGCAACAACAATTTTTTGATTCATCATTGATAACTTTTGGCCAATACTATAAAAAATCATTGTAATAGAGTACATAAATATATAATATACTTTAAGTACAATAATATGCATTTTCAGGAAAAAAAACGTACCAATTTCTAGGCCCACTAGAAAATGGCAGCCATTGATTTGTTATATCTGTTTCAAGGTTCATAAATCTTTCAGGTATAAACTTATCAGCATCTTTCCAAATATCTTGATTTCTATGAACCTGCCATAAACTCACAGCAGCCTCTACTCCTTTCGGTATCACAATGTTTTCTGATAAATTTAATGGCTTAGTAGTAACACGAAATAACAGTTGTATTGCTGGCGGATAAATGCGAAGCGCTTCCATAATTATTGCGTTTATGTATTTTAGGTCCTATTATTTTTTTTAAACATTGATAATAGTATTTGATATAGATAAATCTTAAAATAGAAAAATACCTTAAGACTATCAGAAGTTGGTATTTTTGAAGCGTTTCCTAAAACATTCATTGCTTCTTCTCTAGCTTTTTTTTGAATATCCTGAAAAATAAGACAGTGTTACATTTTTATCAAGTTTTGTTTCAACATTATGAAATCAACATAATGAAAATTGAATTACAGGATATCTTGCTAAATGATAAAAAATAACGCATAATGAGGTCGTAGTAGCTGTATCAATAAAAGAAATGAATTAAGTGATGATATTTTGTATTTTATAAATAAGTATAATAAGTATGGAGCTGATGAGTAAGTATGGGCTGATACTGAATATTTGACCTTAAAATTCTTTGGGATAAAGTGCGTATATGGAATGAGTTTGGATTTTTTAAATTAGAATGTTAGGGCAAAATAAACCTGTACACTAATCCTAAAATCAAAAATCCCGTTCTCACAACATATAGCTTTAGTGAAAATTATAGACTTAAATAAAATTGACAGGGAATATGATCGATTTTCCGGTCATATGATTTTTAGAGTTAGAAAGAGCTCCTTAATAGTAAAATAGCACAAGAAATTGCTTTATCTAATTGGCCAATTGATCTCGTAAACGATCTTATTAGTAAACGGAAAATCAATCCTATGCCCTGCACTATTAGATTTAAACGGGAATCCAGCATAAACAGCTACTATAAATGATAATATTAATGCTTACAGTCATGTCCAGAAACAAAAATTGAAGCTAAATCATCTCTAAGTTCTTCATTCGTGTAGTTATATTTTTCATTGTTGGCAGCTTCTAAAAGTCCAGCCAATAAGTCAGTATTTTCATTATTGTTTTTAGTTCTTGACAAATCTAATTTTCGTTGGTCAACAATTTTAAATAGAAATGTGTCAAATTCTTTAGTTAATAAAGAGTGTTCGATATTTCTTTTAAAAGGAAGTGAACTCAAAAATGGGAATATTGAAAAATATGGATCCGCAACATAATCAATAATTTTGCTATATATTTTTAAAAAATATGGTGGTTCCTCCAAGCTATCCAATGCCTTTGAAAAAAAAATCAAAAATATAATTATTAATTTTAGTCATGCAACCATAATATGAGTGTCGCTAAGGGAAAATCGGCAATTCTTTAAAATAGATTTATTATAATAAATCTATTTTTAGAATTACCGGTTTCCTTAGCGACACTCATATTACTTATTAGTTGACTTTAAAATCAGGTGAAAATAAATAACTAAATAAAAAATTTTTATAAAATTTTTACAAATTCTATATAAATTTTAGTGAATTATTTAAATACGTACTCCCATATCATATGCGAAAGCAACTCTTCCCAATATTTGAATAATAAGACGTTGCATTAATGAAAACGCATCTATCGGAGTATCCGTCCATTTGTCTAACAGAGTTATAAAGTCATTAGTGCATTTCCAGATCGGTTTAGGGCACAATGATCGATGAAATGCTAATGATGCCAATTTTCGTTGTTGTGCCCAGAGCTTTAAAATAAAGATGGTGATCAGAAGGATGAAGTTTTTGACATTAACAAAATTAATGAAAAAGATACATACATCTCCATTCGTGAAAAACATCCCTTTTCCAAATAAAAGTCTTGTTGGATGTGTCTCGGGTAATTGACTCTTTGGAAGGGTATATGCTTAGCAAAAATGATAATAATATAAATAAATAACTTTTTAAGAAATAAACTGACACCCAAACTTAAAAGGGCCATAATAGATACCACTTTCTCGGAGAAATGGTTTAGCAAGTTCGAAGTCGTTTATAATAATCACCCATTTAAACCCCACAAAAATCTGAAATAGCAAAAAAGGATTAACTTTTACTAACGGTAATAGAGCTTAAATAAAATGACTTACTTTAACTAAACCAATTTTGTCAGGGTCTGATTCAAAAATAAGTTTTTGAATTTCATCTTGTCCTTTATTATGAGCCAACAATAACAAGAATTTAAAAAGAGAAACAGTTGGAATGAATTCCAATTCTTTAGGAGGTTTATAGATTCTACGTATAAAATAAAATAATATAATCGAAACTACGAGAATCAAATAAAACAAATTCATCTTGTAAAAGATGAGCGGATCAATTTATTATATCTGATATTTTTATTATGCATATTATTTTGAAAAAATTGTAAAAAAAGCTGTTCTGCACTAGCTGTTCATTAATTGGTTGTTTTTTTTTGCCTTTTACTTTTTTCGAATGCCTTTTACTTTTTTCGAATTTCTTTTAAATTAGAATTGATGTCATTTTTATCAATCGATGATTCAACATATTTTTTTATTATATACTGAGTTGTATTTAACTGGGATTGATTCATTTTATTTAAATACTAATTAATTTCTTGTATCGTATAATTTTTACAAATCTTCTGCCGAACTTCCAAACTTTTCTGTACTGCCCTCTTGGCTTGAAACGGCGTTTGTTGGATCGATATATACTCATTTTTTTTTAAACCTTTATTTCGTATGCTTTATTTAAATACTTAATTTAAAATATTTGTTCGTTTAAGATTGGTATTTAATATTAATAAACTTCAAACGATTGCAAACAAAGTTACGTTAAAAGAGTTTACATTAATAAGCCAAAACTTTTTTGATTATCTCAAAAAATATGACCGATTATAGTAGAAAATTACAGGATTTCAAGTTAAATCTGATCTGAAATCTTTTTTATATGATATCTAAAAATAAATAACGTAACTTTGATTGCGTTATATATTAAAATATTTCTGCATTTAATAAAATGAATAAGAATGCAAGACACTTGCTATTTATCTAAAATAATGTTAATAGTAAAAACTTATAAATTTTCCATGAAATAGAATGTTACACAAAAGTTCAAATATAGTTTTTCAATAATCCACATTTACATAGTATATCGGACATCCTAGTGTGCCATCAAGAGAAAACCTGTTATTGGCTTCAATTATATTTTGTGTCTGTCGTGACTGAAGTTGGGATCCGACTAAAGTTGGAACTTCAGTTGACTGAAGTTGGCACCTGCCTAAAACAGCTAACTAATGCGTGCAGGATGATCTAATTTCAGGGGCTAATTTCAGTCAGGTGCAACTTCAGTCAGGTGCAACTTCAGTCAACTGAAGTTCCAACTTTAGTCGGATCCCAACTTTAGTCACGACATGTCCAGTTTATTTTCTAAGTACCGTCTAGAAAAAATCTAGCATTTGACTTTCAATTATTTATATTTATAATGACTTGTCATACAATATAATTGAAAGCCCGATGATAAGGTTTTCCTAGGCGATGCTCAGAGGACAAACTGGTCATAAATATAATTGTAAGCCTGATGACATGCTTTCCCTTGTCAGCACTTATATGGAATACCAGATATAGGGAGTCTTTGTTGATGGAAATCAAAATTAAGTTTTTGCAAGATTCGGATAAATTTCGGCACGGAATACATTTTGTGAAAAATTTACGGACGTCGCTCAACTTGCCGATGGTCATTTCTCGACAGCCATCTAACCTATATCACACAGGGTATTTTTTAATTGAGTTATAATTTTGATGTCAGTTGAATGGCCTTTTGGGGAATGACCATCGGGTAATTGATACGTAATCAAAATTTACCTGTTACGCACACGAAATGTTCATACAGTGCAAATATGCAATGCCTGATTCCGTGTACCAACCCATTTTTAATATAGATGCTAGCATTAATCATACGATGGGCTATAAAATATGAAATAAACGATACAAACATGATATGTGAATATTGCAGAGACCCCTTAAAGAAATTTTACACGAGAATTCACATATTAGCACGATATATAGCACGTCCAAAGCACTAAATTCAGATCAGTTGTACGGAATCTGCATGCAAGCAAAATCGACGAACACGTAATTGCACGAAATTTTCTTATGTGCACGAAATAGTGAACGGATACATACGTAACTATACATTACCGCACTGTTGCACGGAGTTCGCGCTTTTTTACGTGTTCAGAGCGCGTTTTCCCACGCACTGTCCCGTGTTATATTCCGTATAATTCTATATATTCGTTCGCTGTCACATACCCGTGTTTGACCATAATCCCGTGTACCCCAGACTGTTATGTAAAGAGACCATCGAGACTATGTGTGAAATTATTAGATCTGCATTACTGAAATTATTAGATCTGCATTACTATAAAATTCCGAGACACCTGAAAAATGACTGAAATGATAAGTTTTTGACATCAGCCAGCATCAGTAATTTATTGATTTTGACACGATAACTTATCGCTTCGGTTACTGGAAAATATGAAAGCAGCTGAAACACCGATTTTGCTAACGGAAATCAACTTACAGCTGTTCTCATAAATTCTGGAAAATTTGGCAAAAGTTGACCGACCGAATATTTGCCGATTCGATAAGCTTTGATTTAGCAGTGATAAACTTTTGATTCGGATCTAATTACATCCGAATCAAAAGTTTATCAAAGCTTATCGAATCGGCAAATATTCGGTCTGTCAACTCTTGCCAGGTTTTCCAGAATTTATGAGAACAGCTGTAATTTTTCGCAAGATTCGGATAAATTTCGACCCGGAATACATTTTTTGCGAAAAATTTACCCGTTATCCGCACGAATGTTACACGAATATGTAATGTCTGATTCTCGTGCAACAATCAAAATTTTTAATATAGACTAGTGCTAGAGCCCGTCATCATATGACAGGTTATAGGGTATGGAATAAACGCTACAAACTTGTTATGTGAATATTGCAAAGACCCCTTATAAGAAATTTTTACACATGAGTATACATGTCAGCACGAAATATAGCAAGTCCAAAGCATTGAATTCAGATAAGTTTCATGCAAGCAAAGTCGATGAACATGTAATTGCATGAAATTTTCTAATGTGCACGATATGTGCACGAAATAATGAACCAGCTCATACATAACTATACTGGAAATTGCACGAAAAAGTATGTATAAAAGCACGCTATTACGTGTACTGTTGTGTTTTTTACATGTCTAGGGCATGTTTTCCCACGCACTGTCCCATATAGTTCTGTATATTCTCGTGAACTTATGTACTCGTGTTTGATCATAAATTCCGTGCACCATTTTTTATAGGGACCATATAAAAAGATCATCTGGACTATGCATGAACTTGTTGGATCCGCATTACTATAAATTCTGAGACACTTGAAAAATGACCGAAATGTTAAGTTTTTGATATCAATAACTTATTGATTCTGTATGATAACTTGTCAATTCGGTTACTGGAAAATATGAAAGCAGCTGAAGCACCACCTATATAGAGTCTTTGCTAACGGAAATCAACTTAATTGCAAAATTTGGATAAATTTTGGCACGGGATATGTCCGAATTTTTGAACATATGATTTATATTTAAATTTTCAGGTTTTCTTTTAGCGACACTCATATAGATTCGGATAAATTTCGGCACGGGATATATTTTTCGTGAATATGCAATGTCCGAATTTTGTGAAACAATCTAATTTTTTTAATATTATAGATAGCATTAGAGCCCGTCGTTTAACGATGGTTATATGGTAAGAAATAAACATCATATACAAATATGTTATCTGTTGCATAAATATGCAAGTGCCGTTATCTTATATATGTTGTGCCTGAGATCGATGCTTGCGTCAGGTGACAGCTGACGCGCCTCAGATATCAATCGTTGTATGAGGTGCCT